GTAGAGACAGGGTCTCGCTCTTGCTCAGGCTGGTCTCAAACTCCTGAGCTCAAACAATCCTCCCGCCTCGGCCTCCCAGAGTGCTAGGATTACAAGTGTGAGCCACCGCGCCTGGCCCAAGATAAAAGTTTTTATAGCAGGGGAGAGGAGACCCTTTTAGGCCATACTTTAGAATCTGGCCTGATCACATATAAAAAAGTCAATCATAACCAGTTTAAAGAGTTTATATTTGATGGGGTTTGAAATAAAGAAATTCTGTTGAGTTTATGGAAAGAAAATGAGGTGTATTTCGGGAAGACTGGCCAGGTATATAAAATGAACTGTAGAAAAGAGAGATCAGCGTCAGGAAGTGCTGCTAAGGGGCTGCTAAGTAATTGCAGCAGCCAGACTGCAGTGTAGGCAATGAGAGAGAGAAATGACTAAATAAGATAAAAGATGACTCCAAGGATTTAAGCCTGAGTCAATGGAACCTTGGTAATTTTGTGAGAGACAGGGAAATTAAAATGATAAACTGATTTAAGGATGGAGAGGGAAAAGAAATCAGGAACTCTTCTAGAACATGTTAAATTCGAGATGACAAAATAATACAGTATTTATTTCTTAGTCTCTTTGTGGTGAAGAAATCTCCTGAAGCCTTTTGGCCAAGTGGTAGAAGGCACTGTGGTAAAGAATACTGTGCTAGGAGTCAGAAGACTGGGCTCTACTGGTGACCCTGATATCAGCCAGGTGTATAATTTTGGGCAAATCATGCTAAACCTCAGAAGTGTCATCTATAAAATAAGGGGACTGAACACTAGAAAATATTTATAATGCCTTTCAGATCTAACATTCTATAGTGAAAATTCTCAGTAATAATATCTACAAGGTATTTTTTAAATTCATTCAACAAATGTTTTAGTACTTTCTTACAAAATACTGTACTAGGCACTGTTTACAAAGGAAGATGGAGGATTAACACTTGGGTATAGGAAAAAACAGGAAAGACAGATTTTGAACTCACCAATACAGGAATGATAGTTCACAGTCATGGAAATGAATGAACTCATTGAAAAAGTACCCAGAAGAGCAGAGAACAAGAACCCAGCCTTAAAGAAAGCTCACAGCTAGGGATGCAGGGGGAAAAGAGAAACCAGTGAATGAAAGACAATAAGTAGTCAGAAAAACAAGTTAGATAACTGACATCGGGGCCAAAAAAACAGTGAATTTTAAGAAACAGATGCAAGGCCAAGAACAAGAGCTAAGAAAGGGCTATTAGATTTGCTAATAAGGAAGTCTCAAAGAACTCTAAAGAAATTGATTTAGGGGAGTGAAAGGACCAAAACCTGGGCAACAAGGAATTCAGGAAGAAACATGTATGTGTGCATATATATATAATCCCACTTTGTCTATGGAAGCATATATACATAAACCCTAAAAGACTTATTAGCCTACAGATACTATGAAAAATGAGTTATCCCAGGGAGCTCACCAGACTGTTAACCTTACTATTCAGTATCAGGAGCTCTTCAGTTCACAGCTGGATTTTGGTATACTGTCCTCTCCTCTCACTCTTGCAAAGACACGTCTTACTGAATTGTCAAGAGGACGAATATCTCATTAGAAACACAGCTGAATAAAAACAGGAAGGAAAAACCAACTACTCACAATACTCCTTCGCCTCTTTGTTCTCCAATCACTACTTGCACCACCATTTTATATCGGTCAAATCCCATTTCTAGAAAGAAAAAATAAGAAAGTTATCTATAAGCAAACATGTAGTAAAATTACCTATTAAGGGCAAATTTGCCCAGAAATGGACGTAAGTATTCAATCCACAAGTACTTAATGAGTATGACTGTAAGCTTGGGAGTGAGAGAGACATGAAGACAGATCCTAACTGTAAACTTACCTAGTGTATAAATTTAGGCAAGTTATTTAACTTTTCAGTAAAAGTCTCCCTCGTCTGTTAAATGAGAATATCATTGTCTACCTCCTGGGCTTGTCGTAAGGTTAGGTAAGATATAGTAATACACAAAACATCTAGAACAATGCTGATACATAGTAGTATCTCAATAAACCTTAGCTTCCTCCCTTTTTCCCCTACTCTAAGTAAGGTACTGAGCTAGGGCCTCAAGATACAGAGATAAATAGGATACTCTTTTTGTCTTAAAGAACTCATAGTAGTAAAGAACTCAAAGGCAAACAGAAAAATGAAATGAAAATGCAATATATTTATTCAAGGAGTGGCATGGACAATGTACATCAGGGGCACAGAGCTGGGGGCTCCTCCCTTTGTCCAGGCAGTGGTAAGCAATGATGGGAAGACTTCTTGGAGGATGTGATAGATAAATGAGCTGTGTCTTGAAGGACAAGTGAGAATTTACCAGGTCAAATATGTCTTTCCATTTCATAAATAGGGAATAGCATGTGTAAAAGCATGAGAGCATGGGATCTTTAGGAAAGTGTAAGCTGTTCAGTAAGGTAGAAAAGAAAAAAAACATAAGATTCCAGAGTATACTGAGGTGACCCAGCACAACTCAGCTGCTTGCCCCAGAAGCCATACTACTAAGGCAGCAAAATCCCGAAAATTCTCACTAACACCAAATCTAGAGAGAAAAAAGTTGAATAGAGATCTTTATCTTCCTACTTTTCCAATCAGGGAATAAGGAAATAGAGGAAAGAGTTAAAAAAAAAAAAATGGTGAAATGGGCAAAGTTGAAACAGAACCAATTTTCCCTGATGTAAGTAAAGGTTCCAGGATTATACAGTAAATTGGGCAAACAATCTGAAGGCTACAAGTAACCTGCCATGTAGAATATGAACTCTAATTCAGGATATTTAACAAAATCTTAGAAGACAGAGTCCAAGTGATTTTTTTTTTTTTGTAACACCACTACCAGGTGACCAAGTTATTATCTTTAATTTTATTTCATTTGCTATCCAACAATCCAAGTTATTTTTTTTTTTTTTTGAGACAGAGTCTCACTGTGTTGCCCGGGCTAGAGTGCCGTGGCATCATCCTCGCTCACAGCAACCTCAAACTCCTGGGCTCAAGCGATCCTCCTGCCTCAGCCTCCTGAGTAGCTGGGACTACAGGCATG